GATATTGTGATTTATCTGACTATAGAGAGCAGAAGTGTGTTATTAAGGGCATGTGAGTTGGGCCATTTGGAAAAAACACAATGTAAAATTGGTAGCCAGATCAAAATGCATCTGAAAAAAAGGGAAAATGAATAGTTGTGTACTGTATGCATACATACTCTATATGTGTGTATATATATGTTTATACTGATTTTAAGTTCCAAAAGACATTTATAATTTGCATTTTTATAGGTTTTTTTTTGCTATGTAGTTAGTCTTCAGAATCATTGCAGCCCCTAGATTAAAAAAAAAAAAAAAAAATTAATATACATGCAAACCACATCTGGTTGCCATGTTACAAAAAACATCTGACATTCTAAATCAAAATAAGGTTAGAGAATTTTGACCAGTATTATTTTTATCAATATGCACAAAGCTAAAAACCAACCATTAATAAATCAGATTTTTGTTGCCAGTTCATAACATAAGCCTAAATCTTTTCTTACTCCTAATTCCTTCCATGTGAGAAATACTAAACAGAAAATGAAAAATAAATAAATAAAAAATAAAAAAAAAAATCCTATTTAACAGAGCTAGAGGATCCTGTCAGGAATATTCTATTTCTCTCTCTCTCTCTCCCTGTTAAAATATGTATAAACTAATGACAGCTTGTTAGTAGATAGATAAATTCAGGCTTCCAGCCCTTGTCTTTGTTGTTCAAATGAGTATCAGCAACCACTATGTAAAATCAGAAGCATACAAGTTAAACAGAAGTAGCAGATGGGTGAATTTCACACAGTTTATTCAAAATTAATATGGATGGGTATGGGGGGAAAGAGAGGGAAGCATGGAAATTATAGTGTTTTGTTGGTATAAAATGATGGAGTTGAAAAACATTAGCTGTTTCACAGGAATAGAAAATGCAGAAAATGGAAAAAGATTAAGGCTTAAATGAAATGTCTTGAATAGTGTTTTTTACCTACTTTGGCAGATGGGAGGGAGAAATTTTCTGTGCTGCTACTATTTTTTACTTTTCTCTTTATTAGGGATCAAAGCATGGAAAACTTAAATTCAAGCTCTCTTTCCATTACCATGTAAGAAAGAAATAATAGGCAATTATTTGGTTTAAAATATTTTTTAACAACTGCTGATGGAGTGAAAATTAACCTTATTTGGTTACCTTTATTTTGCAAAGTCTTTTGCTATGTGAAAAAGACTTGATAATTTACTGTTGATAATAATATCAGCTGTCACTCAACTAGTTTGAACAGCATAAATCATGCACCAGGCAACAGAATTTTGCTTCATTAGTATTTTTAAATACTCTATGCCTAAGAAACTGGGTTGAATACAGCTAGCTCAATTATCATGTATATGCAGATAATAAGCAATATACTATACATTTTCTCACACATTCTTTTCTTTGCCAGATGAAACCAGAATAGCTAAACTTACACTTTGGCAAAATTGTCCTTGAGGTCTAAAGTTTCTAAATAAAGTTTTGTGACAGTAAAGACTGAGGTTCTTTCTTATTCATGTGATAGCTTAAACAATCTAAGAGTGATATATTTGTATAATAAATAAATAACTGCAGTAAGTAATATAACTTCACAGCACAGTGTGTTTAGGTAAAGATGACATAAACTACAAAAACATAGATAATAGCAGAAAGCATGTATTTTCTGGATATCCTTTTGGAATATTGAGAAGTACAAAACAGATCGTTTAGACAACTCACAAATAAGTGTTTATAGCACAATATTGCAATGTTTGAGCACTGTTGTGGTGCTCACGGATTGCTTACTGCCAAACTGGGGAGCCATTCAGACAATGTTGCTGTTCCTCCTAAAGCTGAGCTTTCAATACTGTCTGAAAGGTAGCTCTAAATTAAATTGTTGGCTTTGAACTTGTCGAGAATTAAAGACTTATTTGCCTTTTATATTGGCCCTTAAGATGTAAAGGGAATGAGACAAGAAAGGGAGAGATAACCCAAAGATAAACACTTGAACTTCAAGATAATGCCAAGACACTCTGCTATCTACCTTACAGCTATACTTCCCATGCTTGGAGTGAAAGGATAAGGTGAGTTTCACTGCTGACATTACAAAATAAGGGTACTTTCAAATATTAATAACTTCTCTGAAATCAGTGTGCAGACTGTTTAAAAAAGACATCGTGCAGCAGTTCTTCCGTTTAGTTCTTTGCGCAGCTTCACCTTCCCAACAAATTTGGGATTTGGGACAAATTAACAAGTTTTTTTTTCATGCAGCGACTAGAAAAGTAATATTAGTAAAATGCATGTGTGAATTAATTGATCTTAGAGTTTTATAGGCTTTTTTCATGTAAATAAATATCTGGCTAGAGTTCTGCATGCAATGATGTATGTATGCATATGAAATTACATATTTTGTTTAGAAGAAAATATGTAATTTCATATTTGATTTCTGTCTTTTCTCTTATTAGTTGCCACCTCAGCTAATGTGAGTTATGATGGACTGTCCTTGCCTTCAAGCTTGTGGATTTTTATGCGATGTATTGAGCACTCTTTAAATAAGAACTCTGATATTTCTTCAGCATCAGTTTTTCACTTATCCATCAGCCGCTGTTTTCAGAATTTTGCTTTGCTGTGTGTTTGGTACCCATAAATCCCTAAAAGAGCACATATGAATAACAATCATGTTTTATTTGACTTGTGTGAGAACATTTCTAGAAAATTCAAGATCACTATATTGTAGCATCCTACCATGGCTACCATGGAAGCCTTCCCTCTCCTCCAAATACTGACAATGAAGTGTTTTGCATTTCTGGTAAGTGTAGCTAATCAGTAACCTTACTTTAATTAGAATCTAAATAGTACAACAAAACACATTTCAGAAATAATTCACACCTTTGATGTGTCTAGAAATAATAGCAGAAAGGAAAAGTAGAAACCCAGGAAAATGGAAATCCTCTCAAACAGAGTTAGTACCTGAAGACAAAAAGCATGTAAAATCCCTATGCAAAACCCAATACCTTGTTGACTAAAAAAAGGCTTCACAGCTCATTACAATGTTTATGGTTATTATGCAGCTTCCTTAACCAAATATATATTCCAGAATATTTTCTCCATGTTCAAATTAAAGGCTGACACTGAACACGCAAGGAGCATTTGACTTCAGAAACCTGTGCAGAAAGGACTTGGCAGAGTCAGGCTGGCAATACATTTAATTAGTTGCAGTGATGTACAGAGTCTGTGTAAGAGTTATTCATTCTTATCGGTATCAGGGAATTTCTACATGTATCTGTCAGACAGAAAATCCTGTTCTGAATTTAAGGTTTGGTTGCCTTCAGTTCTGTATTGTGTGTCTATATTTCGCTTCAAAGTCAATGGGAAGTGGCATGGAAAAATATTGCACCTGTCACGGTGATCATAATGGAATGTCATTAAATACAGTTTTTCATTCAAGTCAGAGATCTTACAAATGAATGTGCAGCTGTCATACAGAGCAGGCTAGATTTTTACATTGAAACGACACCATTGTTATTAATTTGGAATTGTATAAACCTGAAGGAGTCTTCTTCTATGAAGAAGTGCATCTTAGAATCACAGCGTGCCTATCTCCTCATAATAGATAGAATAGGGAATAAAAAGTCTAAATCTGAGTAAAAGAGTAGAAGAAGCACAAAGATTTTGAGAAGTTACACACTTTTGTAAATATATCTGCAATACTATAGAGGACTATGTTCTAGGACCATGAAATCACAAAGGTTTCTGAGTCTAAATAGGCTAAAGAGTCTATTTGCCCTCAGACTATTTCATCATAGTATAACTAAGTGAGCTTGGAGAAGGTCACAGTGCGCTTGTGACACTTTCTTTTGTGACAGCCAAAAAGGTGAGCTGTAAATTCAGGATACCTCTCAAGGTTGAAGCCATGTATGAGAGAATGTGCTTACGCTATTTGTTGCAGAGTGCCAAGCATCAGCAGTGCTTCAGAGAGCTTGCTAATATATTTTGTAAAGAAGAAATGGGCAGAGGACCTGTGTTTAGTACATGTGCCAGAATTTTTTTTAAAAAAGAAAAAGTAGTCTTCCAGTCTGTAGCATCAAAGGATATTTCAGCATATCTTATAGTAGCTGAGGGACATGGGGCTTAACCTCAATGGATTTCTGGGTGGCCAGCTTGAGCAGCATTGCCACAATTACATAGTTATTCTGTTCATTCACTTGCATCCTCTAATTTTGGTGAAAAAATCTGCATTTGTTTTCCTATTGCACTACATTGTTGTTTTACCTTTTCACATTAGGGATTACTCATAATACATGGAGGTATTGCTTATCGATGTATTTATTAGTGGTGTGGGTGAGCTGAACAGCTAAATGAGCCTAGAATAAGTTAGCAACTTGTTCTTTAAATTAAAAAAAACAACCCAAAACTTGACTGGTCATGTTTGTTTGAAATAAATGATTATACTTAAAAATAATCTTTACAGAATGCCGCTTGTAAACCACTTCAGATACAACTCTCAGTTTAGGTTACAAGAGAACGGTAGTCATTTAACAGCATAGATAATTCAGCACCATGTCAGCACTGTTGTCAGCACCATAAGGAGGGCACCTTCATACATCTAAATGTTTCCTGTGTCTTTCATTGTTTGAAGCAGATTTTGTACTGAATGTTCCTGTGCAGTATTTGTAATGAAATTCTGGAGAAGCAGTGGAGATACGAAAGTTCAAGAAACCTTGAAACTTATTTATCTAAAGATTTGGAAAGACATTTGGAATGGCTTAAGGGACAATAACAGAATAAGAATTTTCCAGACAAGATTTAATAGAGTATAAAAGTAATGAAATCCCAAACACACTAATAAAGAGTTGAAAGCCCGTTAAACCATAGTAGTATAATTATAATTTTTGTGTCATGGCATTTGATTACCTTACTGAAATTAGTTTTGTTGACAATTTAGTCTTGTGGACATTTTGCCCATTTTAAAATTCTATCAATTTAATTATTTTAACTTTCATCTTTTTTTTTTTTTCAATAGGCTTTAGATTGGGTCTTTCACTGTTGTGTCATCTTTTCAGCCAAAAGCTGACTGTTGGGATGAACTGACTGAAAAAACAGAAAAAATGTAGCATTTTTTGGATGCTGGGAGACGTTTTGTTGACCTTAGGTAAAATTCCAATGAAAAAGCAGAAACGTGTCTAATTTAAACTGGTTATAAACAACCAGGGCTAATAAGTGGGAGAAGGTGCTTCTAGAAATTTCATTAATCTTGCATTAGATGTTTTACTTCATGAAAAAAAATTACTAACATAAATATGTTGTATCAGACCCATAGTCCCTGATTCCACAGACACTTGCACTGGGGCAGGGGAGTAATTTTCAGTACCTTTGTCCACAAAACTACTTGTTCAATTAGACATGTAAGGGTGGATTTAGTAGGCATATAAAATAATCACCCACTGTTCTTTCAAGCAAGAAAAAAACACTGAAATTTTAAGGATAAAGTTGCCAAGTATTCGAATTTTGTGTATCTGGTTTCCAAGAGTGTATCAGGTACACTCTAGGCTTTTCTCACTTCATAATCTAGATCAATCTACTGTAACAGTAGTTGTCTCAGTTTTGTAAGTGAAAACCTATTTAATGGAAATGCTTTCTCAAGTCAGATGCTACAAGAGTGAGCACAAGACACTAGCATAATTAAAACCAAAACCACATTGTAAATCCTCATGTTAAACAAAATAATACAGACATTGCTAGAAGCCATTGTGAAGAATGAGGTCAAACTGAGAAAGACTTAGGAAAAGTAATTCTGCAGATTTTTTATAGAATTTGAGGATTTAATACATGCATTACTGTACTGACTAAACACCATACATAAGATAGCCTCACTAAGCTCAAATCTGCACAAACCCCAAAATTTCTATGGTCCCAGAATAAACAGTTTACAAATTGCAGATCTGATTCTTCAGCAGCCCACCTAATAATGGGGAAAGAATTAGCTGGGTCCTTTTTTCTTGAGAAATCATACTATGCTTTTTTTTTGTCTGCTGTAGTCATGTCTCTTTCTTTCCCAGATGCTCTTTTTTTCTCCATATAGACAGAGTTTAAATATTTTTTACAGAGGAACCCACCATGGCTCCAACAATGAAACACAGTTTCATTAACATCAGCAGTAATGTTTTTATGGAGAAGGCTTGTCCTGTCTTGTAAAGACAGGTTGGAGAGCCAAAAGGCTAAGCAGTTTTCTTTCTGAGTGTCAATTGTTCTGTCATAAACAGGGCAATGAAGGAAATTTTGACAGAAGTTTTCAGGTGTTAAAAAATTGCTTGAAATGGAATATTGAGTATAGTGTTAATATATAGAGAGATTAAAACAGTTTGGGAAAAAAAGAAACAAAAGAAAATTTTAATTTCTTTTAAACATTTTAAACCTTCATTTTGATGACAGGCAATATGCAAGTTTTCATAATATAAATCGTTTCTTTGCCAATATTGACTACATATTTTTTAAATTAATGTATTTTGCATTACAGTTTAGGAACTATACTGTGTATAATGTGTGTTAAATTTAGTATAATATGCAAGTTGAACAGAAATAAGGTAAGATTGTGATGATGATGACACAAAAACTGTTGCCCTACATATAATATTATCAAAAATAAAACATTTCTACTTTATTGAAACAAGTATTGACACATTTCCTGAAACAAACAACTATTGAAACATATGAATCCACAATACTGAACTATTTTGAAAATCTCAAGTTGTTTCCAGGGAGGAATTAAGGTTTTCATTATTTTCATGTTCACTCAAACCTAAAAAACCGACAACAGAAACATCTGGCTCCGATAGTGTTTCCATGTGTGCAAGGCCTTAACACAGCATATTTTGATGCTATTTGCTTGAAAATAATTTTGAATTGCTTTATTGAAAGCAATCATTCAAGCAGTGTAGACCTTGCACTGAGTCTGAACCTGCTATGGAAACTATAGAACAGAATAAAAATTATTTTTAGGACAGGAAGGTATTTTGAGAGTTACAGTGTTCAGGAGAGGGAGTTTGAATTTAAGGTACACGATACCACTCCCTGAATTTCCAAGTCCAAAAGGCAAATGTTGTCACCTACATTTTTGACACCCTGAGTAGGAAAAAGTCATCTTACTGCCAGCTTTGCATACTCATGCTTACATCCAACCAGCAAAGCTAGTAAGAAGCACTGGCAGACATGCCAGTTTAGAGGGTGATGACAGTCTCTTTACTGCTGTCCCCTCTTCAGACAGGAGTGCCTCAGTGCCAGCACATCATTTTCTGCCACCTTTGCTACAACGTGAGAAACTCCAGTAGAAGCATGAATTGAGGATTTAAAAATATTGAGTGAGTGGTATTTGCCACATGATGTCTATCCAAGCCGATTCTTATACACTTTGACTTTTACTGCCAGAGCTATCTACCACATCTCAGGTCAGGAGGCAGTGCCTTCATCAGACCTTACTTTTACATCCTATTGGAGACACTTTCTGTTGTGGTCATACCTTGAGATACTAAACTGGAAAAAACCTGTGTAGTGTTTTAAAAAAGTGCCTACCACCTGCATTAATACTAAACAGCTGGATTCCTAACTGATGTAGTGTAATTTAGTGTGGCTTCACTCAAAGCTTCTGTGAAATTCATGCATGTCCATAACTTGAGGAGCCTCTCCTTAAATAATGAAAATGTGGTATGTGCCAAATGAAATCAGGTGTATTTAGTAATAGAAGCTGAAATGAAACAGATGTTTTCTCCCTTTTGTTAAGAAGCAGAGATTCCAAGTGCATCTTATTTAAATCAGAACTTCTCGAATGTTTATTTTGAACATTTAGAGATAACATTCAACTTTTCAAAGAATTTTTCTAGGAGTGTGGCAAATATTTAAAAGCAGGAGAAGAAGCAAGGACAAGCAATATTTCCAGTCATCAGAGCCAAGCTGAGGATACTGAAATAACAATAAAAATGCGAACGCTCTGATTTGAAAGCTGGGGTTTGCTCCTTGGTTACTCTCATTCATGCCATTGTATCAGCCTACATTCTAGTGAAATGCCAACACAAAAATTGCATATTTGCACGAACCTGCTGCGGTTTCCTTGAGGCGAAATTTCACTGTCAAATCTTTTGTGTGGGAGGCTAACATTTAATGTGATGGTTTAATTTAATGTGAATTGTTCCTCACCAGTTAGATGTCACAACCCTGTAACAGAATGCTTGTCAAGAGATGGCTAACAAAGAAAGTCTAGAAAAACTGAACAGCACAGGAGCTCTGTACGCTCAGATCAGATCAGGTTAGTGAACCAATGAAAAACAAGCCCCGCTAAGCCTGTCAGTCCTGCTAAAGTCCAGGGTCATGTGTTTAGTAGTCTGTCTACTTTAGAAAACAAAACCCACAATTTTTTTAGAAGTTTTCTCAGTTCTTTGGGTTTCTTCTGCCTCTTTGAGAAGGAGTTCTTTTCCCAGGTAGGGAATAAGAAGCGTTCATTTTCATTGCTGTGGAAGACCACTTCTTAAGCGTGCTAGGGAATTTCAATTCACAGTTTCCTGAGCAGGACTGCAGTCCTTGTAATCAAGATATTATCAGGTTTGCCTGAGCTTCTTTTATTGCTGCTGTGGCAAAAAGCCACGGTATATATTGTCTGGAACAGTAACTAGCCAGTTCTTCTGCCACTGCTGCAAATCCTCTACTCAAATGTAACCAAATGTAACTCAAATGCTTGCAGAAAAGAAATGAGAAGATTCTTGTCAAGAATGTTTCTAAATTTGAGGTATCTGTTTAATTTGTACTCAGGATTGTGCTGTTGGTTTCCGTCTGCTAAATGAAGTCAACACCTAGGTTTTACTTTGTCTCAGTACAGGATGCACTCCTAAATACATGGTCCTAAGCACTGAAATTGCTTACACCTCCTTTCATCCTTCCAGTCTTCTTTATGATGCAGTATTGTGGTGTTTGTTCACAACTATATTTTTCTGCTTATTTGTGATAGCTTCAAATTTTACGAGAAATTAAAGAATCTTGTTTTATGAAAGTATAGATCTTTAAATATTGTACAATTTTGTTTCAGGCTGAGAAAGCACCTTAGAAAGCAAGAGTAGCGAAGTCCATGAAGGCTGAATATTGTGGTGTCCTTTATGTGGAATGTGTTCATGTGGGTTTTGATTTAAAAAGATTGTGCAGTCATTTGATAGGGTGGATTAGCTTGACATCTATTAAAGGCGATGTGAACTGGGCCATAGCAACCTTGCACATTGTTTTGAGCTATGTTCTTTAGATTGTGTGTTTATAGTATATTAGATATTTTTTGTTATTTTGGAGGAATGTTTAGAATTGTAAAAGTAAGATGTCTGAGAAGGGAAGACCATACTTCCTTGTTCTCTATATGCCAATCCACACTTCTCTGAAACTCCCTGTGATAATCACCAGCATTTTAACATACTGCGTCTCTGTACTTGTTCAGTTCTTCAGTGGAACTTCTGAACTCTGGAAAGCTTGAGAATAACAGTGTTTTCATGAATATCAAAGGCAATAGAACTTTTATATGTAATGGTAAAAGTTGTGTTTTAGACACATTTGTCCTTTAACAGAAAGTGAAGCAAGGAACAGAATAATGGAACATGCCTTTCCTTGACTTGTTCTGGGTATACAGCCATATAGCTTTTTATTGTTAGTGATTTACTCAGAGATCACTCTGATACTTTTCAGTGTAGCATTAGCTAGATCAGCCTTTCCTTGTCCTCCCTTCTAACTGCATTAACCTGTTGTCCTTGAATTTCTCCTTCAAGTTGTGAACAAAGTGCTCTTCAGCTTGGGTGGAAGTGGGAAATGTGGTTACTGATTTACTCATGAATAAATGAATGTGTGCTTGAATGTATGAACTGATAAATGGATGGATGTCATCAGTAATGTAGACAACCTTCTTTATTTTAAGGGAATATGCAAAGAATGCCAGGAGTCAGATATACATAATTTTGGGTCTTTATAACCTTTTGAGATATATCTGTATATATGTGCTGGAATATGCTACAGAGCATTTTAGAGCCAGATACCTCATAGCGCACTGTAGTCTCGTTCTGGAGTGGAAAACACACCTGGGAAGAGACACACTTGTGAGGATGTTTCACTCTCAGAAAATTAAAGCATACCTGTAGCACATACCCTGGGAAAGCTGCGATGTGTGTGAGATACATATGGACTCATAAGCCCCTTCTATACCGAAATTGTAAGAACCACTTTTTTTTTTTTTTTAAGGTCTATTTAATTTTTTTAGTTGAAATATGTGATTTATAATCCCTTTACATAACTGAGTAATATTTACCTATGCCTGGTTGCCTTTACTCATCCTATCACATCTTCATTTCACTGAAAACTGTGATTTCTAGAGGCTTCTCTGCACAGTACTGCTAATATAGTTAAAGTGTTGCAGAGTGTAAAAAAATTTACTGCAATATTATTAATGCAATGCAACAAAAAGCTTGCTTGTATTAGGGCAGCTTATTTTGATACTAAATGGAACTTTAGTTTTGTCTGGTAAGAGACAATCTACCACCAGCTTGTTAAAATAAAAATTGAAGGTTACGTGCTTAATTAATTTGGTGAAAGCAGCCTCCTCATAGCAAAAATAAACTGGTATAGAAATTGTGTGTAGACCAACCTCAAGGGGAAAAAAAAAATGAATTACATTTTTATACAGGCATGCTATTCTGGTATTAACTGAATATTAACCAAACCGAATGCCTGGTAGCTGAAAGTCAGGAATTATGTGAAGAGGGAGAAATGTCATTACACATCCTACTACAAGTTTTTTTTCTAAAAAACCTAACAGCTTAAATGGAATTAATAGCTATTTTAACAGCTGGACATTTTCTTTTGCTTTGGATGGTAAATTTTGAAATCTAAAGGAAAGGAGAAAGGAGGTTATTTCCTTAGCATGCTTGAGTGAAACAGTTCTGCTAAACAACAGCAAGCAATTTGCGTTAGCTGTGCAAAGAAGCTTATTGCTGAGCACTGGCCACTCTAGTATTAATGTTACTGAGTCAAGGAGATGAAGGAAACCATGCAGAGTAAAGATTGTTACGGTTTTTCAACAGAAATGCACAAAGAGTTCTGACAGGTACAATTCAGCATCAGGCAATAGTTACAAAGGCAAACATCATAATTTGATCGGTTCTTCTTGCATCCTGATGTTTCACCAAGTACAGGGGAAAAATGCAGCTGCCATCATAGCTGGGGAGGACAAGTAGAATGAATTTGATAATGCAAGGGAGTCAGGGAGTGCAACTGTATTGTGGTCTTGTCCATTATTTGTCAGAAAAGTAAATTAACCTTCACATCCCTGATAAAATTTCAAACTAAGAAAAGTATTAAAGGCATGTAATGAAATCCAAAGATGTGGCAATTCCTCTAGAAATTACAGAACTGCAGATTGTTGTAATTTAAAACCTTGATTGTGACCCCACTCCTGTTCTTTTCAGTCAAACCAGCAAAGTACAGCTTTTGGGCTGTTTTGTTTGCCTCTTGATTCTTTTGACTTTCTGGGAGATATTTACTCTGAAATGTGGGAGGGACCACTATAAAACGTTTTTCAGGTTTTTTTTTGTATTCAGAAATGACAGCGGTTCATAATGTATATATTGTAATGAAGGAAGAAGAATGAAATTCTTTAAGAAGTATAGATAAATAGCTATTTCAAGGAAGCCTTTTTAAAGACTAATATTTTAAAAGCAGTCATTTATTAAGCCAACCAAAGAAAAAGCATTGCTGCCTTTGAACTGAATTTATGAGTCCTTGTATTTCCTTTACCTGGGATAATAGACATAGCTGAAGGACAAAAAGGATGATAGTGTTTATATACTTCTGTTTCTAAAAGATAACTTATAATACAAACAGATAAATTAGAGTGCCTCAGACCTTTTCTCTTTCCCTTTTAAGGTTTAGTCTATTGATTTGTCTCATTTGTTTTTCTTTTCTCTTTAAGACTATTGCATACATATGGGCAATCTCTTACTAATTTTGTAGCAGAGGGTAGAAGTAACCAAAAGCATCCATCAGCTGAGTACTCTACACTGACTATATTTTGCAGGTCAGATCAACCTCCTCTGATACTCTTAAGGCTTGTAAATACGAATCTTTCTGGGTGTCTTTCCAATTTTTCTTCTTCTGAGATGTATATTTCTTCTCTAAAGGGTGCCCAATGCAGATTGTGTTCTTAGGAGATTTTAGACTGTTTGTTATTAAAGATTTTAGATTAAGATTTTAGTTTAGTAGTTATTAAAGATTTGATCATTTGCCACCCAGTACTGACTGTTACACTGTCAGTTCCAAAGCATCTCCTATTAATGTTGTATGAAGAAAGTTTGATAGTTTGGCACAACCACTTATAAGCAAAATGAATTTTTTGCTATCTGATGCTGGGTAGGCACTACATTTCAGTGCAAAATCTGTTTCATATGCCAATCTGTCGCATCCTCCACAGTACTAAAGTAAGGTACTTTCGGTCCCCTCACTGGATTTCTGCTTTACAACATGCATGGCCTTCTTTTAACCTTCACTCAATGTCTTAGATTAAAATGAAAAATTTAAGGATAATTATAAAATGCCTGCTTTGTAATTTACCTTAAACTACTAATATGTACTCTCAGTAGCAATTCCATTTTAATTTAGGTTTTGTCAGGGAGTCATTATGCCTACAGGTAATTATCTAATATGTTTCCCAGGCTGTGTAACAGATACAGTCATCACAGCATCTCAGCTTTGTTGTTCAGTGTCAGGTGAATTACATTTCTCTCTGAGGCAGTTACCGTTAAAGACCTTGAAATGGAGCTTTCATTATTTGCTGATTGCTTTCACTGTAACAAAACAAAACTCCAAACATTTTATTTATTCTTTGTTGTCCACATACTACAAATTAAATAAAGTGATCTCTGCCATTCTGGCATAATGAACATTCATGTTTTTAAGGCAGTTAAAGCAATGATGCTTTAGAATATCTTTTAGGATCACCAGGTTAATCAGAGAAGTGTTAGTGAAAATGCAGACTGAATTTCGTGCACCCTGATGTAATATTCATAAACATAAAATTAATTAGAAGTTAGCATCTCTTGATATTTTGGAAGATGACATCTGTCAAATGACCTTGTTTGTGCATTCCTACCTCTCCTTCCTTTTACAGCCATGCATGCCTCTGCTGCCAGAAGTCTGCATATTTTAGAGTGTGACCCACAGCAAATTAAGCCCTTGCCTGGGACATGGTTGCAGATGCAGTGAGGTGGCCACCCCTTCCCAGACCCTGGGGAACTCTCAGATGTGTGCACAGATGCAAGGATGCCTTCCACCATAAATCTGACCTTGTCCCTTACATCTACCAAAGTATATAAACTGCATTCTTCAGTTAGATCTCTTAGCAAGATGCAGAAGCTTTATTCACTTGCGAACAGGAACTAAGTTACCCTACCATTCTGACCCTAAGCCCACGTGCTTGCCTTCCCATGGGCTAACGATCATTCCTTGCAGCTTATCAAGAATATTAAAGGGTCTTTGCACTGTAAATCCTTTCACCTGCTTCCCTAATACTACTTCAGATAGGGACTTAGTTGCTACAGCTGTCTCCTGGGCAACATCACTTAAAATCTTACTTCTAAGAGGGCCCCTGGGAATTGGTTTCCTGTCAGAGCCTGTTGATTTCTGAGCTCAGCCCTTTTCTTGTCAGCTAATGGGTACAAATTGAGGAAATGGGCAGCATGTTAGAGCAGTGTGAATAAAGGAAGTTTTGCTAAATGAGGTGGGTGGTGAAACCATCTGGACATTTGAAAAGTTGCCTATTTCTCAGCTAGATAATTATCTAATTTCACTATTATTAGGCATGCAAAGTCCAAATGACAGCATCTTTTGCCTGTGACTTAAAATACAACATTGAGATGCCTGTTTTTTTTACTTGTTAACTGGTTATAATTTTTTTTCTTCTGCATTTTTTTGTAGTTACACATTTTATTGATGCTTCTTTTGCTTTTATTTGATGATAGCTTTATGCAAGGTATCGCCTTTCCCCTTTCCTTTAATGATGTCTAGAAAAGCCTTTTACATCTACTTAAAAATTAATAGTAGTTTTGAAGGCTTTCTTAATTAGTGCTTTAGAGTTTGTTCAATATTTAAAATTTTTAGTAGTATGAAAAAAGTTGTAAAACACTTTTATTATGGCATCCAGTCTAAACCCCACCACAAAATCTGGGGTAGCTGCAGGATATATTGGAGAAGAATGTTGAAACAAGTATCTTTTATGCCTGTTGGTCTAGCACACAGCATTTTCCTGGAATCAGCCTGAAAGACTACTCTTTGTTGCTATTTCTAAGTGAATTAATAAGGACACAAATTTTCCAACAATAAATTAAAGTTGTAGGGCTTTTACTGACTTGGCAGCAATTGTATTTCATCTAAGAAACTTGATAACACTGGGAGAGAAGACCAAGTATAAAAACATGGTGTAGATGCACTTTGCATGTTTAAAGTCCTTGCATCATTTCTGGGAAACATGATATTTAGATGGTGCCCATTTTTTATTAATTCACTGAACTTTACTAGAAACTCTTTGCAGTGAAAACCAGATTTTCCTTCATAATGTGTTTATGTAAACTTTTATTTTAGATCTGTTAATGGAGGGCATCAGATGGAATATTTTAGTGATATTGTCAAGGGAGAGGAAAGGACGGAGCAAGAAGGAAAATGCCAAAGGACAGCAAGAACAAAAAGTCAGAGTCTAAGGTTACCAGCTGTGAAAATGTATAAAAATAGAAATCTTTTATTTTTTTTTTTAAACACTTTTCACCTTCAAGTGAAGAGTTCTTTCTCATTGCATGATCCTTTGTGTAACTCTTGGTAAAAAGGAATGAAAATTAGCAGGAAATATTCCAGATTATATTATTAATTGTCATTCTTCACTAGATGCATAGATATTAAATATATTCACTTTGGTTTAAGTTTGCAATCACACTATTAAAAAATATTCCATCAATTTATGTCACTTGATCAAACAGACGCTGAGAAAAGAGATTCTCTTTTCTTCTGCAGAATGTTTTTTTCCATTGCATACAGAAGTATCCATGCAGAGCCCCAAAACACATCAGTAGTATGGTGAGGCATTCTCTGAAGATGCTGTTTATCTGTGTGTAAAAAAGAAGGGACGAAAGTTTTAGAATCCTGTCTTCATTGACAAATTTCTACCATGCTGTGCAAATATAATGCTGTTTTGAATACTTTCCTCTCCCAGGGCACTTGCTGTGTTGGCTGCCAAACTTAACGTTCATTACTCAATGAAAAACAGTTAAAAATGAATTAATTTGTTAGAAGATTCTGTCAGCTGGGACTCTGTGGTGTCTTTGCCTTGTTCTGGTGCCCCTGTGTTATATGCTGGTGCAGTGCAAAAGGATAAGAGCTACTGGAAGATTACTGCTGTCTGAAATGGCAGAAGAGTAGAGCAGCCTGATTTGTGTTGATTTGGAAACATGAGGAATTACACTAACTTAAGAGGGAAGGAAGGCATAGGTGTTTTCTATGTAAGAAGTGAAAGCAAGCTACACTCCTTTTTAAGAACAAATAAATATGAATTTCTGTCTGCTTTTCCCTCCCACCCTTATGGGTCTAGAGAAAGCATTTGCAGCAGTCAGTACTCAGAATTTTGCCAATGTCAGTTCCTCAGGAACTTCTGTCATATCTCAGGCAGTTCACCTAAACAGTTACTTTATGCACAACTTGTGGATAATGAGTTTAATTAATGCCTCACACTGTTGGTAGCAAAACATGTACGGCAAAAGTGCTGCAGTCCACATCTTGAGAGCCTAAAGGTAACAATATCCAAATAATTTGGTGGTTTATTTTTGTTATTATTATTTTTATTATAACTATTATTATTAATGGTGTCATGGTTTAACCCCAGCTGACAACTAAGCCCCACACAGCCACTTGCTTACTCCCTCCCAGTGGGATGGGGGGAGAATCAGAAGAATAAAAGTGAGAAAACTGATCAGTTGAGATAAAACAAGTTTTAGGTTTTAGATAAAAAACCTGAAAAAAGGTTAAAATAGGTTTAAAACAGGTAAAGCATAAGCCATGCATTTGAGTAAAGCAAACAAAAAAAGTTATTCACCATTTCCCATTGACAGGCAGGGGTTCAGGTGTTCAGCCATCTCCAGGACAGCAGGACTCCATCACACGTGATGGTTTCTTGGGAAGACAAACACCATCACTCCAAACATCCCCCCCCTTCTTCTTCTCCCAGCTTTATATGCTGAGCATGACACCATATGGTATGAAATATCCCTTTGGTCAGTTGGGGTCGGTTGTCCCAGCTGTGTTCCCTCCCATCTCCTTGTGCGCCCCCAGCTCACTGGTGGGGTTGGGTGAGAGGCAGAAAAGGCCTTGACTCTGTGCAAGCGCTGTTCAGCAGTAACTAAAACATCCCTGTATTATCAACGCTGTTTCCAGCACAAATTCAGAACATGGCCTCATACTAGCTACTATGAAGAGAATTAACTCTGTACTAGCCAAAACAAGAACAAATGGGAAAAATGAGAAAGCAAAAGACTTACCCCTGAGACATAGCAAAAAAGCCGTGCACATTTAAGGGAAATAAAAAAAAAAAAAAAAATCAAGAAAATTAAACACTTATTCATATGCATTCTTTCTAATGAATAACAGGAGAAAACAAGAGGGACTTGTGTTCCTTCATTAGAAGAACTCCCAGAGGTGATAAATCATACAGGATTAGGCAGAAATTTTAGGCTTTTTATATCCTCTCTGCAGCTCAACTAAATCAACAGAGAGTTGTTTGTGAATGAATTTGCCCCAGGCAGAGGACAAGGAAGGGGTTTTTTTTAGCTATCTGTGCTGATACAGTCTCCGATATCACTGAGCTGAACTTCTGTACCTGCTGGCTGCCCAGAGCAGCTTGAGCACTTGCCAAGAAGGGGGAGAGCCCAGTTCAGTGCCTCTCCCCAGCCTCCCATGTGTGCTAAATGCCCAAATCTCTCTTCCTATTGTGTTTCCTATTTCGCCCTCAGTGTATTGATGTGATTTCGCTGCAAAATGCACTTCCCACACATGCTCTGCTGAGAACTGCAGCAACAAATTCAAATCAGTCTTTTAAAGGACCATCTAAACTAGCATGGGATCAGCCAGATTTACACTGGTTGAGCTATGTCTGGCAGGTGCCATAACACTTCCACTCTTGACTGCACTTTTGTCTTGTGTCAGGAGGATGTCACACAGCATTTTTGTGTAGCCAGGCAAAAATGCCAGCACACAGACATACAGTTTTTTGAAGCTTCTCAGACTGATTAATGAACCTTATGATGAATCATCATAAGGTTCATATGATGAAATCACCATATGATGAAATCATCATATTCTGAAACACAGGGAACACACTGCTGCCATAAAAACGACCATTAAGGTGCAAACCCTGTACAGAGTGTAAATCAGGATCTGGTATCCATCTAGTACCCATCTAATAGCCACATGCATTTGCAGGACTGTGTCACATACAACACATGAACTACACAGCACTACAGGTATTCAAAGGAATGCTAATGCTATCAATTCAATTTTAACTGAATATTTATATAGATAGTGCTGGTAATTTGGGGAATGATTTTTCACGACTAGTTGGACCTCTCCTTTATGCTTGTGCTTGTATATTCTAGAAAACACAGATTTTCTTTAAAACATCGTTACTTCCATTATCATCACGTTACCGGGCTTATTAAATAATACAGAATTTGAGAACATAACCAAAGTCACGTTTTTTTTACTTTGAGTTACTTGTGTTTGTCTGTCAGACCTTATTCTGTGGTCAAAAAGGGAAAACTTGATTTTGTTTTTCCATATTTTATTAATTTTCATATGTTTTGGTGGTGCTCATGATAAATTACTTTGGGAATGCTGTTCTGTACTGTGCTAGTTCAAAATCACACTATTAAAGATAGAGTTGTATTCAAGATTATTTTTGTAATGAAGTTTCTGATGAACCCAAGTGAATCAAGAGAGGAGGAAGCAGAGGTTGAGAACAATAGGAGGCAAGTAGCAATCTGTAAAAGAAGCAGTGGTGTCAGGGATATTGATAGCCCAGTGAACTGTGACAGCTGTAGTTATGCTCAGTCTCTGTGGGAGATCTGTGGATACAGTTGGATGCTCTGGAAGAAAAGCTGAGATAACTAGCTGTAGAGTGAGATTTGCAGAATCTCAGATAAAGCCTGTTGATTTTATTTGAACTGCAACTGCTGGGCAAGTCAAGACAGGTTAAATGTGGAAGATAGATAGGTTTAAGATGTAGCAGATGTAAATCCATTTCTTATTTGTATGAGCTCTGAATTTGGCTTTAAACAGGTTTGTGCTAAGCTTTTAGGAATTTTAGACAGACGGCTCCCTTAAGCTGCATGTGTGAAATATGTATATGTAAACTCATATTGCCTGTGTGCAACAGCGAGAAATTGCAGTTACCAATATTTTAACCCTCTAGTCTCACTTTGAAACTGATTTTAGTTCAATATAAATGCTGTGAGAAATACTTATGGCAGATTCTGAGCTCCTCAACTTCCACCTGGATCCACTATTTGGTTCCTGCCCCTGTCTGCCAATGTCCACAAGCAGTCATAGTTCTAATTTTTAAAGACAACAGCTACATGACCTGTCCAGTGAAAGAAGATATGCCAATGGAGTCACAAGGAGGCCTTAGATTTTTGAGTGCTGTCCCTCTGCTTCCAGACAAACTTTCTTCCTCTGGATTTTCCCAACTTTTTTTTGCTAAAAGTTATTTTTTGTTCTGAAATCAGTGATGCTACATATTACATGCTATGTGCAGTAACCATAGATCATGGCAGCAACAGGTAGGTAGTTTTTAAATAATCGTGTTTTGAAAACAAAGTATGCTATACAGATAGCATATAGTATTTGCAGATCAGCATTTGGACACATTTAAGGTTTGGTTGATTAAAAGTCCTTGTTGCCTCTAAACAAAAGTTTAGTCACAAAAAACCTCCAAAAATGTGAGGAGAGAACTACAAGGAAACACTTTTAGGGGTGCATGCTAATAAGCTCCAAAATTTATTTATTGAAGTTAGTGTGGTTGAGTAATTTTTTTTGTTCAACAAGGAGCGGTTCAACATCTCACTTGTAACTTTCAAATAAAAATAATATGAAAATCTACTAAAGTTTTGTCTAAAAGTATCTCATTAAAAAACTGAGGTGTTACTCCAGAGACTTGGGCTTTCTCAGCCAAACAGTGCTCCATTTTGAGGATACACCAGTGAGATCCAGGAAACTTACATAGAAACTGAACCTGCTTGTGAAATTTTTTTGCTGCTTGTGAGAGTTTTTAAAAGATTTAGGTACCTAGGGTTAACCAACAGGGAAACAATTTCCACTGCTCACCTCTAGGAAGACAATTCTGTGGCCTAAACATCAGTGTTTCATGTCTAGTCTATCTTAATTTCTCCAGAATGCTTGAGGTACTTGCACAGAGCTTGCAGGTATGGCCTAGGAGAGCTGTCTGTCCCTGTAGCAGCTTCTGGCAACACGCTGAATGCACTGGGGTGTTCAAACTGCATCACTCACTTTGGTTTGGCAATTGGATCCCAGGTTTCTTCCTGAACCCAGGCAGAGATCAGTCTTTCAAGAAGTAGAAATACTGCTTGTGTCTTCCCTTTCTTTTCAAGGTTTTTGTAATTAAGATACTCACTGATGGTTTCAGAGACCGGAGTTCACTGATTACGATACTCAGGCACATCTTCAAGAGTCTCTTAATCACCCTGTAGTCCTGGAGAGAAGAAGCAGGATTTGGTGTGTCAAGCTGTTTCCCTTTTTTTCCTTACTTTCCTCCTCCTGCCCCTCCCTCTACCCCCCCCCCCCCCCCCCCCTTTCAGGATTCTCAAAAATGAGGAAGGAAAAAAGAAAAAGGAAGCCCATTTCTGTGTGTTACTGGTTAGAGCACAGAGCACTCTGGGATTACAGAGACTTGGCTGCTGGTTTCAACTTCTTTTTTGGTCAATGACTGTTTACTGACTGAACAAAGAACAAATGAAAAGGAAATGTTATACTAAGTGCTATTAAAATGCAAAAGCAGTATGAAATACATTCAAGGACTACTTGCTTAGAGAACTGCCATCACTTGAGTTTTATCTCATTAAAAGATACT